TTTTTTTTTTCTAGTTTCTAGCTTCTTTTGCATTCTATTTTTCGCGAATTAATATATTTTGTCTTTCTTATAATTTCTTTGTTTCCTGACTTTTTTTGTAATTTCAGACGAGGTTCATCGCCGTAAAAAGTTCGAAGAAGAATTTGAAAAAGTAGAAAAAGGTAAAGTTCACTTTTCGTTTCGTATCCCATTCAAAATGTTTATCCAACAAATGCCTTTTCATTCTCCGCTACACGTTGTTTAGACAGCTTACTACTCTGGTTTTATAGGCTTTGACGAAGTATTTTTGAGCTTCTAAAGTTGTCATAAACAATTAAAACATACAGCACCTCAAATCAGAATTTATGATCACTTTGTTAGAGCCCCGTAAACTAGTGCAGTGTACAAAACAAAAAAAGAAAACTAGCGATTGGATGAAACATCAAATAATGATGCAGATAACTACAAGTAATCAACCTGAACGCCGTGTTGCTGGTGGGCACGTTAACTACTAGCCTCGTAGAGTCGGCACAAAAGAGCATTTCTCTGCATCTTTTGACGTTTTGCAAGCCCCTTTTTTTTTGTAGTACCATATTTCTTTTGTCATTTCAGAGCGCAGAGGAGAAGTAGTTGAACAAGAAACATACGAAGAAGAGAGTAGAGATCAAAAGAAAGGGTCAGATGTGATAGATGACCCAGTGTGCATTACACTCGAATTTCATGGGTAAGTGTTGTACTTTATCACTGCTCATAAGTTGAACTGTAAAATTTTGAAAAGTCAAAAGACTTTGAGATGTGATGTCTCATTCCTTTTTCCTCTTCTCTCCTCTTCTCTTCTCTTTTTTCTAAGTTTCTTTTTCCCAATTTCGTCAAATCAAGTTATCTTGATAAGTGACTCTTGTTTCACGAAACTCCATCTGCAACAAGTATTTTTTTGTTTAAGGCGCAAGAGAAACAGGGACGAGAAACAGGTAAGCACGCTTAGGCCCTGGCTAAACGACGGAACATGTTTCCCTAAATGCTTCCTAAGGTGGCAAAACTGTCAGGAAACATCGGGAAACAATGTCTCCATGCGTCTTGGAAACATGAAATCTTTCTGCCGCACAGCCAAAACATTTTTTGCGTCTTGGAAGCAAAATTTGTTGCACGCAGCAATGTTTCACATGTGGCTAAACTGGGAAACATCGAGGAAACATGCGAGCGGTAAACATGTTTCTGGAAACATGTTTCCTCGTTTARCCAGGGCCTTATCATATACAGTCAATTCAAAAAACGTTGTCGTTTGGCGAAAGGAACTCTGGGTAGTAATCATTGAAGCCGAGTTGACTCCATAATTTTATCTGACTAGTTATGCCTTGTTTACAGCACGAACCTTCGTAGGCGAGCGGGAAGCGTTGAAGAAGACGTTTTTTTAATGCCTTCATATTTTCGGAATTGTGAACTGAATCATAACTACTTTATTTATCTTTCCCTAAACCCGAAGACATGCATTTGACGGATTGAATTGTTTCTCGCCATTATTATCTTTACTACTAGCGGGAACAATTAATTCAGAACGAATATTTAACCGCTTCAGTGAATTTCACCCATATTTCCTTCGGTCCAGTCGCGTAGGCTTGAGCCGGTCGACGACAACGTTTTTTGAATTGACTGTATCTTTTAGAGCGATTTCAATTGGCCCTTGAACTAGAGTGAAGTCATTAATTAAATGTCTATGTGTGTCTAAATGTGTCTATTTGTTTATTACACGTTGACTAGCTAACACTGTTCTTATTTCACGGGTTACAGTCAAACTAAGAAACCTGTGAACACCTAAAATATGTCTAGAATGTTAAACATCCTGTTCTGACCAATCACATGCGAGAATGAATTCATTTCTAATTAACTGTCGCATGTGATTGGTCAGAACATGATGTTTAACATTCCAGACATATTTTAGGTGTTCACAGTTTTCTTAGATTGACTGTTAATGCCTTAACTCTAAAACAGAAGAAAACAATGGAATTGCTTTCCGCTTTTACTAAGTATTATACTGAAGAAATAGAAAACGCGCGCGCGTGCTGCGTGCAGTCATAAAGCACGCGGGGGTTGGCAGAACCCTCGAGAAGTGTTAGGACACTCGACACTTCTCGAGTGTTCTGCCAATCTCCAAGTGCATTATAACTCCACACAGCACAGCAAGCAAGTTTTTTATTTCTTTTATAAAATACAAATAACAATAACCGTTATTTTAGATAGGAATGACGCTACTAAAAGTGCACGCGCGTGCTGTGTGCTCTCAGAAAGCACGCGCTCCCAACCAATCAGAACTCGAGATTCATAACAGTTATTTTATAATAATATTTTTTCACCGGCCAAATAAAGTCAGTCCATACTCACTATCTCAACTAGAGCTATCAAGGTCTTCCTTCCTCAAAACGTTAGACCCAGTGGTTGAGATGTAATATTATTTATAAATCTACTATGCAATATACCATCATTCCATGCCTTCAGTGCCACTGCCAAATCTATTACTCATTAAATCCGTTTAATCTCGGGAATTTAATTATTTCTCATGTAAAACGATTGTACTTTTCCCGACACCAGGAAAAACGTTTGCGTATGCGTGCACTTCAGCACGTTTTCTAAGAATTTTGAAGAGTTTGAGTGAGAAAATAAATGTTTGTTTTCTCCAAGTATACAAAAAAGTTCGAGAGTATACTTTTGTCAGACCTAGATACTGTATTAACAAACACAATATAAAAGAATTAGTCTTAAGTTTCAAGCATGGACACTAAGTTTTGGCATTTTGTGAAGTCCAATTTATAAGGCATGTTTGAAAGCCAAATTTACATATGTTTTGACTAATTTGCATACGGATTCAGAGCATGCGCAGACGTTTTTCACTCGTATCACTTTTCCCGCCATCTAACATAGCTGCCGTCACGTGATGGTGCAACCCCTTGCATGTGACGTCAAAGGAGTTTAATTAGGAGGACGAAACAAAAGAATTTATATTTCCTGAGAATTGTTTCGAGAAATCTATTGTTATGTCCTCCAAATTGTGCTGCATTCCCACGTGCTGCCAGGGGTCTATTACAAGTATTCGTATTCCCTTTCCAGATATTCCCAACACGTTATCTGCGCTGTTCATCAAAGCTGCCCGTCGATTTACTCAAGAAATTCGTTACCATGAAATTSGGCATCCCACAAGATACGCATTCTGTAAGTTTTTCTAGTGTTAAGTCGTATTCTATAACTCGAGTACTTAATATAATTGTGCCTTAATGTTTTCCCATGTATGACCACGTGTCAATCGAACTCCGTAGTCATTCCCTAGAAGTAGTATCATTTATTGATCAACGACTGCGTATGAAAAGACGCATGAATATGGATACCAAACTCAAACAAAGAATCTTATTCTCAAGAGAATGACACGTGGTCTGAAATGGAAAAACATTAGCATCAAGATATGATGTCAAAGCAGCTTAATTTGGAGGACAAAACAAAAGAATTTCAATGAGAGTTGGAAACCTATTGTTATTCCCTCCAAATTGAGCTGCATTCCGACGTGCTACAAGGGGTCTAAAAGTGCTTGCACTACACATCAAAGGTTCAAACAATCGGGCAAGGTCTTGAATGAAGAGTCCCGTGGCCCTTGTAGTCCGGCATCGAGAGCCTCCAGAAGAAGGGGGGTCCTTATCCCATTTCCTAGCCCCCATTTTAACCAAATCCCTATGTTTTGCTTAAATATCAATCCCATTCCCAGTGCATAAAGTCCCATTTTCCCAGCCAAAAAAAGGCAAATCCCAGCTCCCATCTTACCCCTTCAGGACCCTCTATTGAGGCAAGGCTTTTATTTCAATCTGACCTAGCTGTTTCGACAGGCAGCCCGTTACTGACGTCGTAAGGTATTACTATATGTTTCAAAAATGTGTGGCTAAATGACTAATCGTTTATGAAGGTTGAGATCGTACGCTGTGATGAAATACTGAGTGATCACCTGACGATGAAAGAACTCTGGAGAATATATGGATTACATACCAAGGTAAAACACATCTTTAATAATGATGATGATGATGATGATGATGATGATAATAATAATATATTCTCAGGGTTTCTAGGTCAGCACACATCTTTACTAATCGGGGAGACAACAAATTTTCCTCCTCGTGTTTTCAGTAGCGAAGGGAAACAGTCTATCATACCAGTTGCTGGGGTCAAACTATATCAAATTGTGTTACCTAAGTAATATAAAACGTTTGCGCTTATGTCTTTACTGTGATATTAACACGCTGGRAGCTGTAAAAAACTAGAGAAGCAATATTGGAACACGAGGCGTAGCCGTTAGCTTCAGTCTCTTGCTTTTCGAACTTAACGCTCTATGGCTTCCAGATTGTTTATTTTACATTGCAGACACACTCAAGCGACCTTTCTTTAATGGTGCTCTAAAATATATCTTAAGGGTTTTTTGCAATTGTGTCTCTGTACTTTGATATAACTACGGTAGCCAATCAGAGAGCGCGTTATATCTTAATAATGTTTCATAATATTTATGAGCTACCGCTTGATTGACTCATTGTGTTCCCTTGCATCGTGTTGGCAGACCTTCATCGATCTACAGTACATCATTATCGATAAAAAGATTGACACTCAAATAGAAGAACTGCCTAAACGAATCCCTGTGATAAAGATCAAAAAAAGACGAAGGAGAAAACAGAAATCTATCTCAAGCAACGATGGCACGAGTATTGCACCGATAAAACGAAAACGTCAAAGACGAATAGGAAGAATATGTAAGAAGATTGGTTTGTCAGAAACCACAGATACTTCTCTTACCGCTTTGAAATCAATAGACGAACAAAATAGTGATCAGCCTCACAACACACCATCTTCTACTCCTCAGCTTGCAGGAACTGCTGGTCAGCCGTTATCGAGTAACGCGCATGCTCAGCAGGAAAATAAAAACGAATCAGTTCCTGAATCAGTGAAACAAAATGACAATATTAAGATGGACACTTTTGTGTGTCCTGTCACCCCAGAAAGTGACACTGATCACACCGTGCCTCCATTACACACAAAACAAGAACAAGTAGATGTCTCTACAAGGTAGTACATATCCTCGTCGGAATAGATAATTAGTATTGTATATAGATTTGTATACACTAAATTGAAGAATCGTTGTCGGGTTCAGAAACATAGAACAGAAAAGCTGAGACCGAAATGGCACATGGGAAATGACATAATTATATTATAGTTTATTCATTTGCGCCATCCATGCAGTCGGTTTAGAATGCCAAACGCGTATCAGAAGACCTGCGTTTGAGAGCCGTTTGGCTTCGCATTTTTAACAAATACGTCTTCAAGTCAATGACTGTTTTAGTACCTTCAGCACAACGTTAACAACCTCCATGGTTTTAAAAACAGTGGATGCTGCCACGGGTCGCCGGTCACAGCTTGCATCTAATTAACATACTTCCCATGTGCCATTTCGGTCTCAGCTTCTATGTTCTATGTTTCTGAACCCGACAACGATTCTTTAATTGAGTATAGAATTCAATTGACATGTGAGTCAATAAAAATGTTTTGATTTTAAAATCCTGGGTTTTTTCTTTCCTCTTCGTTTGTTGTGCATATTTCAGACCATGTGATGCCACTCTTGGGATTTGATTTTTTCATGTGTAAATATTTTGACATGTTCTTCTAAATTGCTTACTATCAATCACGTGACTTTTTGGAGTTGACTGAGGGGCAAACAAGCGGTTGACTGGGGGGCAAATAGTGGWTGCTAAGTCAAAACATATCAAAATAAGTCCTCAAACTATTGTATTTGACTATTTTCACGACATCAAACCAGCAAACAAGAGATCAAAACAACCTCCAGGATTCTACAAGCCATTAAAAAAGAGCTATTACCGGAAGTGACGTCTATTGATAGCAACCTATAGAACAATTACCAAGGGAATGTCATGTGATCTGAAATGGGCAATTTGCATACAAAGCTAAAAAGGTTGCTGTCATTTTAGCTTACGGCATATTTTTCAATCGTTCTTTTTCAACTGATATCAGCTGTTCCTTCAATTTAAAAAAATAATAGTCAAGGGAATTAATTAACACGTGTTAAAATCAAACAGTGTCCATTCCTTTGAGTATTATTTCTTTCACAACAATACTTGAGAAGATCCATTTAGAGTTATTCCGCACAAGAGCGTTAGAGATCGAAATGTACATTTTTGGACCTTAGGGATGCAGATGAGCAAAAACCACACGCACTGCATGCATCGACCATCATCTGTCATAGCAATTAGCTCCAGTGGCGGATCCAGGAATTTTCAAAGGGGGGTTCCGTTTCTTAAACTGTGTATAATTCTCTTTTGTTTAGTCGATGTTTGACAAAAAAAGTGGCTCCAATCACCTAATTTACTATCTAGTAACGGAACTTAAAGGTAAATTAAACATCATAACTAAATATCTATCATTTCGTGTTCAACATTATCCTTATGGATACTTTTAAGCAAAATTTATATGACATATTTCTATTACCTAAAAGATCAAACCTTCAAGGGGGGTTCCGTGGACCCCTTCGACCCCCCCCCCCCTGGATCCGCCACTGCGCTCTACTATATTTGTACTTGAGGTAGAACATAAGACAAGTGCACAGAGCTAACAGTGCCGGGATGAAAACGATGACACCTTTATTCACAGATGTACAATCTAGATAATTTGGCAAAACAGATGACCGATGAGTGCATGCCGTTTTTGCCCATTTACATTCCTAAGGTCCAAAGGTGTACATTTATAGGATCCCATTTATATCTAACGCGCTCTTGTGCGGAATAACTCTCTAATTCAACCGAAAAGGTAAAAACTTGGAATGCGTCGCCGAATCCGAAATTCTTTGTACATGTGGCATGTCACACGGCAAATCGATTTTTCGCGCATATCGCAGAAAATCGTCGTTGTGAATCGGTCACGTGTAACAGCTTAAACCCCTGAAAAAATGCATTCTAATGGTAAAAAGATGATATAACTATCTAAAAACTAGTGTGAGCTGCGTCGGTGTTTTTTAATCTTTTCACGGTGTATAATTTACCTTTTTATCATTACTGTTCTAATGGTAAAGAGGAGAGGATGAGAAGGGATGCGATTGACCTTTAATTTGTTCAACAATTTACTACAACTGTCATCTTCTATACTTTGGATTTCTTTGCATTTTTCAGTCATTTCTGTAATTCAACATATACATCATTTGGCATAATTTCAGTCGAAATAATTGTACCAAACTTAACCAATTTATATCAATAATATCATAATTAAACTCAAAATACATAAAGTTAGTCCAAAAATACTACAAAATAGCGGTGGATTCAATGCCATTCCACAGTGGAGGACAAACAAATGTCTCTGCACAGCTAGTATCGATATTGTCAATATTACGACTTCGTAAAGGAGGAGGAGAGATCTTCAATGATTCAAGAGATTCTTTGTCCTTATTGCTTTCAGTTTCTACTGTTGAATTCTTGACTGATACAAAGTGTTTGTTCAGTTGGTAAAACTTTGCCTTGTCACATACAGACTCGTGTTGTCTTGTCTCGTTTTCTTTCGATTGATGTTTCTGTGTTTGTTGTAGGTTTGTTTGCTCGGGCCTGTTCTGGTAGCAGCCATGATCACCGTGTTGTAGGTTTGTTTGTTCGGGTCTGTTCTGATAGCAGCCAAGATCACCGTGTTGTAGGTTTGTTTGTTCGGGTCTGGTCTGGTAGCAGCCATGATCAACGTGTTGTAGGTTTGTTTGTTCGGGTCTGGTCTGGTAGCAGCCATAATCGACGTGTTGTAAGTTTGTTTCATCGGTTCTGTTCTGGTAGCAGCCATAATCACCATGTTGTTTCTCCATCACGGAAAGTCCGTCTTCAGGTGTACTTTGCTGTTGTTCTTTCTCATATTGCAGTTCTCTTGTTGTTTGGTATCCTGTAGTTGTTTCCTTGTCTTGTTTTTGTTCTCTCTGATTCACGTCTTGGTGGTCTAGCTGTTGTACTAGTTGGTGATGCTTGTCATTATTCTCTGGTTCATTTGAATCTTTCGCAAGTCCTTGAGTCGTTGGTCCGTAAAACAGTCGTTTCTCTCGCAGCACGTCTTCAGTCACGACTCCGTTCGGTAAAGAATACCTTTCGTTAGAATCTTGATGTGCTTTTGTTAGAACTACATTTTTCATTCGCCTTTTACGTCGTTTTGGCGGCGGCATGTCAGACTGCTGATCTTCTTTTGTTTGATGTTTTCGCCGACGTCCTTTTCGTTTCCTTTGCAGTTGTTGTAGTTCATTGTGTCTGTATTGCTGTAGATGATCTATTTTGACTCTCTTGGCTTCTTGTCCTTCAGTTTTCAACTCATCGTCTTCCTTATTTGGCAAGAATATGTACTGGATGTCTAGACAAGACTGCAATCAAAGACAAAGTTAGTTCACATCCACCTGAGAATCCCTATGTCTTCAAAAGGTTTTTTTGTGCAAATAGATTTTAAAGGGGTTTTGACGCTTCTATAGCTATAGAGTGGCTGTTAGTCAAATCACCAAGATGCATGACAAAAATATTTTGCAGAGGGAAGAAAGGGGCTCAGTTTGCCTTCGAGAAAAGATACAAGAAATCAAAGAAACGAGGAAACAGCCTAGCTATTTCAAAAACGTTTGTTGAAGGTTTTGTCGCATAATGCATGTTGCATATGGCATACCAAGCCAAGATGCACTATGGGCGATGTTAATGCAAGGGTCACAACAATTTGGAATTTTCCTAAACTTTGTCTGCTTATTTTTTGACACATCTTTTTTTTGTGCTGGCAATATTTTGGCAACAGGCACAATGCGGCAACATGCAACATGCAACATGCAACCTTTTGAAATAGTTGTAAACCAATGAGTTGACAAGTTTCAATAGTCATCGTTTACAGCTATAATAATTAATGTTTTTGGTTTCTGACCTTGGCATAAAGACCATAGATTCGAGAGAGTTCTGTCATAGTGATGTGATTATCAAGAATTTCATCTGATCGAACAATCTCGGGCTGAAAATAGAAACAAGTTAATAATCTAATATATATTTCACCGGTTTAGTGATTCCACTCTAGTCAAATAGACACGAAAGTAAACAATGGAATTATGGTCTACTAATGTGTATTAGTCTAATATCTATCGCACGGGTTTAATGACTTCACTCTAGTCAAATAGACACGAAAGAAAACAATGGAATCAATTGGGGTCTACTAATGTGTATCAGTCCAATATCTATATTGCACGGGTTTAGTGACTTCACTCTAGTCAAATAGACACGAAAGAAAACAATGGAATTAGGGTCTACTAATGTGTATTAGTCCAATATCTATTGCACGGGTTTAGTGACTTCACTCTAGTAGACACAAATTCGATCCATTGTTTTTATTGTTTTCTTTTGTTCTACTTTGACTGTTGGTCACTATTTATACAACTTTGTTTCACGGGCCAAGTAAAATCATCATAGCTCTATTAGACATTATCTAGATTTTGTTTGGCCTATTCAGTACAATTTTCCTTAAAGACAGGATGACAATGACGTGTTTACAAGCTGCATCCGGTAATGAACCGTTAGACAAGACCCTACCTGGTGTGTGGGTGGGATTCCAAACTTTATCGACAGAAATTTCTTCAGAACGCCAACGGTAACTTTAGAAGAACAGCGTAAAAAACGTGTGGGGAAAATCTGCACAGAAAATAAAAGGTACAATAATGTATTAAAATACTAGGAAAATATATTATTGAAAGAAGGAATTAACCCGTGAAATAAATAAAAAACACTAGTCAACGTGTAATAGTCAAATAGACAGTAATAGAGGCTTTGCACCATCACGTGATGACAGCCATGACAGGGGGCAGGAACAATTGAATCTGGTCTAATGTGATTTACATTAGAAAGAATTCAGTTTCTTAGGGGGAAAAGACTATATTGTTATGTTCCCTGTCATGGCTGCCATCATGTGATGGTGCAAAGCCTCTATAATCTAACATCTATTCCACGGGTTTAGTGACCATTCATGGACCTATGACCGTTCATGACCTTTTCATCTTACCTGTTTCTCGGTGCGTTGGAATCTTTTCCGCCTGATAAAGGAAAAAGATAGAAGAAAATATTTGTCATATTAATAAAAAAGGTTTCATTTGGTCTCTATATTTATACATAACTTCATATCAATGGTACATTGAGTAACGTAACAAGAGTCCGAGAACCTCCCTGAAGAGCGAGGGCGACGAGCGCGCGCGCACCTATTCTCCCGCCAAAACCACAGCAATTCCATAATTATACAAAAAATGGAGAAAACGATTAAGTCGCTGTTCCTACATAAAAGAAAATGTAAAGCATACCCATAGTATTCCAGCTGAATACAGACAGGGTCATCAATCACGTCAGGACAGCCATTCTGATCGGATTTCACTTCAGCAGTATCGCCTGTTTCTCCTGGAGTAATCCGTTCTTTATTATCACTGTGTCCTATACGATAAAACATAATGCATGGATTTGCATTTTTCCTTAAGAGAAGCACGGGTGACGTAGCGGCGAGAGCAATAGTCAATGCGACCCGTGTTCAAGTCCCGCGGTGCTTCGTGTCATATGTGTTTTAGAGTTGCTTGTTGATTCTGTTCTCCGGTTTTCCTTCCTCCGTAAAAATCAAATTCTAAATTCTAATTGGAATCCAGTGGAGGAAGAGCCACTCTGAGGAATCCACTGTTAATCCTATTATATTATTATTATTATCATTACTAACCGCTTACCAAAACACAGACCAGGAGACAGACCAGGAGACAGACCAGGAACCAGTTTGTACACGATGTCTTGCAATACTCGATCAGGCCTGTGGATGTACACGAAAATAAATCTTCAAACCTTCAAATTTCATCAATAGCCTGAAACCATCTCCGGGCTGATCAATGTCAGGGCACGGCTAACTCACAGAATGAGCCCTGAAACCATCTCCGGGCTGATCAATGTCAGGGCACGNGTCAGGGCACGGCTAACTCACAGAATGAGCCCTGAAACCATCTCCGGGCTGATCAATGTCAGGGCACGGCTAACTCACAGAATGAGCCCTGAAACAATCTCTGGGCTGATCAATGTCAGGGCACGGCTAACTCACAGACTGAGCCCTGAAACAATCTCTGGGCTGATCTAAGTCAGGCCGGTACAGCTAACTCACAGATCGAACCCTGAAACAAATTCTGAGCTGATCTAAGTCAGGGCACGGCTAACTCACAGATCGAACCCTGAAACAATCTCTGGGCTGATCAAAGTCAGGGTATGGCTAACAGGGTAAAATCAACACAAGTCGAATTAGAATTAAGCGTGTTAGGTTTGGCAAAGGGGGGACCCTCGAATCAAGAGAAAGACTTAACAAACTCTACTCATGTGATACTTGGTCCACTGAACCCGAGACCACAAAAGATGAGAGGTAAATACAAAACTTCTAACAACTCGATGGTGAGTGTATACTAAGAAAACGTCTGTAAACAAATTACATTTGACAGACAAAATATGTTATCGTACTTGATGTGAAGCAATGGCCTTGTTTTGTGAATTTCTACGTCACATACAGGACAATGAAAACTGGTTTCCAGGTAACGAACGATACAGCTCCTGCAAACTAAAACACACACACACACAAGTTATCTTTACATACTCTAAAAGATAGTACTTTTAGTGAACTTAGCGCCAATTTTTTCTTTAATTTTTAAATAAACTTGGTCGAAAAGTTTAGATTCACGATATGGTGCATGGTTTCCGTCAAACACTTATATTAGATTTCGGTTTTTATCTCTTGAATAATTTATGTCTATTCTTCATTTCATCATTATTAGCATAAACGGCAGATTTAGAAAGTGTATCGTGTCGTTAAGATGAAGCATGTCTGGCCAGAGAAGACTTTATTTGTACGGAATCAAAGAGAGATTTATCAGGTTAAGACCTGTTTTTCTAAGCTAATATATATTTGACTGTATAAAGGATTTTGGGTCGTCGGAAAAAAAAATTAAATCTTGACATATATCCGTATTGTTTATTTGACTACGACTGCAATTATCAAAGACTTCAGAATGCTAAAAGAAAGGGTTTCTATTTGGCTGTATTTCTTATGAAAGACGTATTCTGTATTATTGTTGAGCACTCAGCTAGGTAGATGTTAAAAAGTTTTTGTGCTCTCATATAGTGATCATTTAGCCGACTAAGTACATCTCGAGCACAGGGCCCGTAGTTTGAACACTTATGTTGAAAGGAAAAATCCGGCTCACGAACTAGATGTATTTTTTAACGAAGTTCTGCATGTACGAAGTTCTTTCTCTAGTTTGGTTTAAGAAATAGAAAAAATATTTGAATGTTTATATGATAACGAAGACGATTTAAAACTGCTGCAAGAATAGCTAAGATTGTTTACAGTGCCGTGCATGGTTAGATCTCATTGAATTTATATATCAAAATATATCGCAAGGGAACTGTAGCTTAAAATCAATCCTCCTTCTCCCAAACGTTTACTACATCGTCCCATATTATTGCTATTTAGAAGTTTTTCAGGAACGACGTTAGCCAGAGAAGACTTACAGGAGTGTAAACACTCAATGATGGTAGTAGCATCCACGAGATATCCTCCACAAAGTACACAAGTGATGTGAGGGTTCAGAGACTTTAGCTTCATCGAGCGAAGCATGTTTTTGAGTTAGATATTCCCTCGGAAAAAATTCCAGCTTAGCTACAAACGTCTTGATAAGTTTATGATCCCAAGTTTCCTGGGGAAAAACGGAGAAAATTGCAAATTAAAATTTAACATGCAATTCTTTACCTTCATCTACTCTCTTTAAAAAATATTAATTTTCTAATCCTGTTTTCATACTGGCATGGGCTGTAAAGGACCAATGAAGGCTTCAAGATTCTGTGGTCGCTCAGCTAGCGGCCTATATTAATATATATTTTTCACTCGTTGAGTATCGTATCGTTGGCTCAAAGCAGTAGTCTCCCTTCGACATTGTCTGCAACATATCCCTATGTCGATGATTTTACATTTACAATCTAGTTTCAATCCCGCGATAAGAAGGGAAAAAAACAATAATAAGTCTCATGGAAATACGCAGGGAACTTCAAGATCTTATACGATACGAAAAAGGAAAAAAAAAAAAACAACCAAGTTTATTCCTTTTGCTACTGAATTTCAAGTGATTATTGGACGAAAAGAAAAAAAACAAGGACTCTCTACAATGACTTTTAAAATCAATGCGATAAACAGAGTTCAGAATCGGGTTCTGAACTAAGTCATCTTGTCATAAAACAGGATTGATTCTCAAATTAGCCCACACTGAGAAAAATCTACCTCATATTAGACACTAGAGTAGCCGCTGAAGTCAAGCAAAGCATGAAACTTCCGATCAGTTCATTCACGAACAATTTAGTTCGAAAACCAACCAAAAACGGCTTAGTTTTACGCCATCGAAGCATGCCATTCGTGCTAAATAATACATGCACAAGCTTTCTTTTCTCCATTCTTAGGACCATGGTAAATCCGATAGTTTTTTTCTCAAGCTTAAAAGAGATTTAACTGGATTTAGCGAAAACTTTAGTTGGAATTAATAATCCATAATATAAACGATAGTGCAAAATGCCGTAAACTCAGTAAATTTACTCTAGATTCTCTGGAAGATGACCGACGAACTTCACTGATCACTACTCAGTGGAGTTTTTTATTTTGCTCATTGCCGAATCGCTTCTAAAATCAAAACGGCATTTTGCTTTTTACCGGCAAAGTTGTCCTTTTGAGGTAACTTTGGCTAACTAATTTTTGAAGAAACTAATTCAAATAGCAGAAAGTTAAGGTCACCTAGCGAAACGATTTACTTAACGGGACCGAATTAAGCTACAAAAACCATTGACACCGGCATTTTTTTGCTATACTTCTGTGAGAGTTAATTCAAAACACTTTAAACAAATTTCTCGAGGGTTTACATAAAATTCCAAAACTCTGTGTCTAGCTGTAATGCAAAGTGAGACTGGTTGGTTCAAAAATCATTGGCGAACAGTGTGACAGCTGCGATGTCATTGGGATTCGTATCGGAGCGATTCTGCTCTCCTATGTCTGTTCGCTTTGCACGGCATTAATACTACATCATGTGAGGCAGGGAGCTTTACGCCTCACTTTGCTATAGATTCGAAAACGAATCGCGTAAACTGACAATTTAAGAATCGCAGCGGAACGGACACTGACGACCTTCAGATAGAAAACGGTCCAATTCATTCTAAAACAAGCAACACGTTTTTTAGTTCTAAACTACCCGCGGAAATAGTGACTTTGTAAAGGTTTAGACGACTGAGTTTAAATGTAGCCGAAGTCTTGAAAGCTCGAAAACAATGATAGAACATTACAAATAGAAAACGTTGTCAGGTATGAACAGATTGTAAATAAAACAAGTCCTCTTGAAGATATTCAAAACAATAAATCAGGTAGTGAATAACAAGAACCAGTTTCAATTCTCTACTGACTTTGCTTGTAGTGACGTTTTCCGGAAAACAACACGACTTAGTTTATACTACACGGTAAAGAAGCAATAGAATTAACATCAACGCTTTAAAGGGTTGAATTGTCCTGTAGTAAACTAAAGAAAATGTTTAAAATGATCTTGAGGCAGCAGGTCGAGCTATTCAGCCGTGCCATTACTGATTCAGTCAAGTCTCCCCAAACTATTATTCTCCGCCGTCTTTAGTAGTTTGCCATCGGACTTGTAGAAATTGGTTTATTTTCTACCCATACTTTGTCTTACGAACCTTCAAACTGAACTCTTTTGTTAGTAAAATAAACTAAAAAGTCAAAGATTAGAATGAATATATCAAAGCTCTGTAGTAAAATCACAGCCTGAATAAACCTCTAAAGTCGTCAGTCAGTCAGTCAGTCGGACTTGAAGTCATCACACATGAGCAAATACAAACATAAAAGACGATCACAACAGTCGCTCTGATATCAACCATTTGAAGTCAGACGTGAAGATTAGTTATTCGTCTAACGTAGTGTGGAATTCAGTAGCAAGATGCAGTCATTTGATAGGCTATTTACCTGTTTTCTAGAGCAGAAGTGTAATTGTTGTTCAAAGTCGACATGGACTCACAGTAAACCAATATCTACATAGTTATCGATTAACAAACAGCCACGTGACACGGATGATACCAGTCTCTCTCCTTTTTACTCGATAAAAAACACATGCTGAGGACACAGATGTTCACGTCAGATGATGTTAGAAAAAGTAAAGGCGACAAATTCAAAAAATTAAAGGCAAATTTGTACTGAAACGATGTTAATTACCCTGGCTAGAGGTTCTATTCGCTTTGCCGGAGCGAGAATGCAGAATGCAATAACCTCTGGGCCCCAGGGTAGATGTTCATAAGCAGCACAAAAAAATCCACATAAGATATTATTTCCCCCTACTAAGTCGTTAGATCAAAAATGTAGTGTTATTTAGTGATTTGGTCCTACGGCAACAATTTTTTCTCGTGAAAACAGGATCATGAAGCTGCTTCAAAATATAAAAATAGAAAAGTCATTTACTCCTTTTTTAGCGGGAATTTCATAGTCCTTACAAAATAATGAGTGTTACTCAGGATATCAGTGAAAGCCGTAAAAATGAACGAACTCGGAATTCAATTTGAATGAAATCATAGAAATGATAGAATGAAGCCTGTGTCGTGATCAAAGTGTCGAATTGTCAATCAATTGATTTCTATTTCACGAACTCTTTGAAGTAAAAAAGCATGCGATTTCAGTTGCAGGCCATTCTTGCCCGTGTAGTGAATGCAGAGGGTTAGGTAAGGTTATGCCCGAGTTGATTTTCTGGAAGCAGAATTTTTTTCTTCTTCCCCTCCGTTGCCGGCTGAGCGGGAGGCTGGTCGGAAAAACCTATTAGTTATCAATTGACACGGTTTTCTTTGTTATTCATAAGGCTTTATTTTTATTACAACCCTCATAAACAATGGACAAACTTAAAGCCCGGGGAGGGAATTGAAATGCAGCAGGGAAGAGCGGGGCTGATATGAATTAATCTGATTGGCTCATTATGAATAGAAGGTCAATATATAGTTATAAACCCGGTTTATAACTATATATTGACCTTGAATTTATAATGAGCCAATCAGATTAATTCATATCAGCCCCGCTCTTCCCTGCTGCCTGACGAGTAAACTATCTGGGGAATAATACTATTCTACAGAACTAATCTAATTAATGTTTACATTAAAAAAAAACTATAGAGATATGTTTTCTAAACATTACATTATCAAATCGTTGCTAGTGCTCATAGTTTATGTGTTAAAGTTTACA